CCGTAAGGCAATCCATCTACGTCCTGAGGACCTCGCTGCCACCGTCCAAGCTCGCTTGGCCCCGGCAGATGAACCTCAGGATTAAAGGGTGGGCTCAGTTCCGCGCACACTGTGTCTCACCTAAAAAATCCAATGCGCAGGCTGGAAGGTGGAAAGACCTTCCCCGGTTCTTCGTTTGCGAAGACTGGCAACTGTGTTTGGTGGGGCGATGCTCAGCTTTGTAACACAGGTTCTGTCAGGAGGCAGGGAGGTAAGTGCTGTGCACTCCTGGAGCCAGGCTGCGGGAGGGGGAAGCTGGTAGTGCTCCTGCAGCACGAGGCAGGTGGAATTGGCTGATGAAGGTATCAAGAGAGATCCTCCTGGGCCATGTGCGATCTCTCAGCTGAAGGAGCGTGTTGGCTATTCTGCAGTGAGTTCAACACCCAGATGTGCTCTTGAATTCCCAGTGATTTATGTCTCAAGTAATGGCTGTGGCAAGAGATCCTAGCTTTGTTTAGCTAGGGAACTAAAGCATTTATTAACTGTTGTGGGTTCTCATTGCATACGTTGATGCCACCTCCTCCAAACTGGATTGCAGTCGCTTTCCCTAAATGGGGCCAAACTGAGGAGTTTATGTGAGCACCAGCCAGTAATAAAATAAGGCCGAATGTTTAATTAGTTGTATGAGACACATGAGGCTTATGTAGCTCTTACTATTCTCTGTTGGCCGCTCTGGCTACTGATTTGCAATTCAAGCATGTTCATCTTGGTCTGTAACATTCAATACATCTCTGTCCTGAGACTTGATTTCTGTTTCCCATGTGCCACCTTGACAGGTGAGATCAGCCTCTGCTGACAGGTCCAATTTATACAGACTTTACCTTCAGGATGTATCATAAGATCCTCTTTATTTTTTTGGTTGTGCTTTTTAAATGTAAATGACTTTGATAAACTTCTGGTAAAGTTCTAGTGGTTGGGAGGGGCATATTTAAGTGTTTGCCATGCTGATGATGTCATTGGGAGTTCAAGGAGAGGATGTGGAGATGCACAGAGTTACAGGAGTCAGAATTAGCGTTTCTCTTTATTTCTTGTCCAGGGTTCAGTTCTCTTCATTTTATGGAAAGGAACAGTACAACTTTATGTTATTGTCTGCTTTTGTAAGTAGGCAACTTAAATCAAATGCACTTAAGAGAGTTTGCAGAGAAGTGGTAGGAGCCCCATTCAGTAAGACTGGCAATGATTCATGACTTGAAAATAAGGTCATTGTTTTGGCAGCCTAACTTAGGCAATCATGTTTTTAAATCCTGGGCTTCCAGTTCCTTCCTTCCATCTGGCCATCCATCCTTCATCATCTGATCTGAAATATGAAATAGTAATTCTTCAGAGTACAGTGCTACTGGGCTGCCTTCAGACCAGCAACCTATATTAGAAAGGTTCTTAATCCTATTAGTAGTATTCTGTGCTTTCCAGTCATATAGATCCATCTCACTGACACGTTCTCTTTTCTTTCGCCTTGCCTTGCCTTGCCTTTTTGCCTTGGCTTTTTTTTGGTTGAGCCAAACAGGGATTTTAAAATCATTCCAAGATCATATCTTATTCAAGACATGCTAAAGCTATTTCAGGTATATTCCATCTTTTATAAAGTCTCACTAATTATATTTTAGTGGTTCGTCTGTACAGAGATTACTTTGCTATCTTGTTTTATTTCATAATTTATAGTAAATAATTTTTGTGCTGCTCTTCCCTATTTAATTTATCTCTATAAAGAGATTTTATGATGTGTTCAGATGTGAAAATAATTGTAATAGGCCAAATTAATCCCAAATGTGGCTTTATAGAACTGACAGAAATTGTGGTAGAGATTTTTGATCCATGTAAATAAATTTTATTTAGCATTTATGTGGGTTTACTTCTAGGGGTTTTGATAGGATATCTAGATCTTGTAATGAAAATCCTGTATTGATATAAAATGCACAAGAGACTCCCTAAAGAGCTGGTCTTTTTGGCCATTGTCAAGTGTCACACAAGCTCTTTAAAGGACGAAGCCAAAAGACCACAATGCTATAGCTTTGCAGGATTTTTTTCTGGAAGGACATTTCCCAACTCATCTGGGATATCATAGAGAAAATGCTACAGCAGTGGAGAGCACGTGCCAGATGTGCTGCAGATGTTACATGTCAACCATCCCTAGATCAGCTTCAGAATGTCCTCTCCTTTACCACTGCAATATTTCAGTCACGTGCTAGGAAAGCCAGTTCTGCTTGAAGAAAACTCTATCGAAAAATTCTTCAAAGACAAATAATGGAGAAGAACAGCTTTATAGATTTTGTGACTGGAAAGGCCCATTAATCTAATTGAACCTTCTGTAAAGAAAAGGCTGTATTTTTTCACTGAGAAAATACTTGCAGCCAAGACACTGTTTGAACACAGAGATGTTAAGACTGGTTGTTAATGTTTGCCTACAGCTGAAGACTGTGGGTGCACAATGAAGACAAGTTCTGTT